GATGGCTCCAAGACGGTTCAAGGGGCCCCCAAGACGGCCCGAGAGGGCCACACAAGAGAACTACCAGCAGGGCATGAAGAAGCCTAAAACATCAATTGTCCCAGAAAGTGTTTGACCGATTTGGGTATTCTCACCTTCCCAGGCATCCTTCAACTGAAGACTAACGTACGGGCCTTCAAGATGGCCCCAAGACGGCCTAGACATGGTCGGGTGATCGTTCAAGACGCTCTAGACGGCCTAAGAGGACCCCTAGACGACCCAAGACGGCCCCGGGAGAGCCTCAAGCTGCCCCAAGAGGGCCTCAGAGGGTCCCTCCACAGCCCAAGACGGCCCCAGAGCAACCCTAAGAGAGATCCCAGACGGAACAACAGAAATCCCCAATAGTGTCCACTAGAGCGCCCTCCGACGGTCCAAGAGGCCCCAAAGCGCTCAAGACAGCCCCAATACGGCCCAATGAGCTGTTCTCCTCCTCCTCCTCCTCCTCCTCCTCCTCATCATCATCATCATCATCATCATCATCAGCATCATCATTAGCACCATCATCAACACCATCATCACCATACTAAGAAGCAAGATCGTCATCACCATCATCAGCATCGTCTGCATCACCACCATAATCAGCATACTAGTTAGCATCATCAGCAGCATAAGCATCAACAGCATCATCATTGTAAGCATCATCGTCATGGGCGTCGTAATTACCATCATCAGCAACATCAGCATAATCAACACCAGCATCACCATCAGCAGCACCATCTTCATCAGTACCATCATCGTCAACGACATGGTCATCGTCATCAGCATCAGCATCAGCATCACATTCACCTTCCCCTTCGTCGTCATCAGCATCATCACCAACACCACCATCAGCATCATCGTCATCGTAAGCAGCATCATCATCAGTGTCAGCATCAGCATCATGATCATGATCATCATCAGCATCATCGTCATCATCATCATCATCATCATCGTCATCATCATCAGCATCATCAGCATCAGCATCATCATCATCATCATCATCATCCGCATCATCAACATCACGATGTTCCACATCGCACTCCTCCCCGATTGTGCTACAGTGGAATGTGCAAGTTGATGGTGAGGATGCGCATTAGGGAAGCAAGGGCCTTTGATGCCCAGGTTGACCTGTTTGAGCGGCGCCTCAAGGCTACCCTGAGAGGCTGGCCAGCCAAAACGGTTTGAGGACGAACCGAAGAGGCAAGGACGCCAGGGTACCCTTGGGAAGTCGCTGGTCTTTAACATGCGCGTTGACTGCACTCCTTCTTCTGATCCTGCTCCTGCTCCTGCTCCTCCTCCTCCCCTCCTCCTCCTCCTCATGTTCCCCCACCCTCATTTTCGCTCCTTTCATCCTCCTACTCCGCCCCAGGACAACCTCAGACGATCCCAAATAAACTCAAGACGGCCGAGGTGTGGTGGACGACGGTTGTCTGACCGATACTCAAATCGACAGCGCACCTGTACCTTTAACGCCGCTCGATTCACATGCTACCGCCCCTCGAACAATTACCTCCGAGAGTGCTGTGCTGGCACGGTGACGGGACTTGCCGCAGACAACTGGATCCATCTTGCTGTCACAACTCATGGTGTTATCGTGTGTCTTTCTTCCGCAGGCCTTGGACTGATGCCACGCGCATGTAATCGCATCACCTTCATCCTCCTCCTGTTCGTCGTGGCCCTCCTCCTCCCGCTCGTCTTATTCGCCTTGCCCACATAACGGTGCCGAAGACGACCCCATGCCGCATGCTAGCGTCTCCAGAAACCAACCTCTCCGCTCTGGGGCCCCGACTTCTGCCAACTTCCGCAGACTACGCGCTGCCAGGATGGAGATGGCATCAGTCGTTCGTATCGGGACCGAGCCTTTGCTCTACACAAGGTACAATGTCGTGTGGGTGGCCGAGAGGAGCTACGAAACGGGTTGGCAGCGCGTGCCAGTCGCACCGTCGCACATTACACGGACAGCACCATCTCACGTTGGAGTGTGTACCTTCAGGGCGGGAGTCTCGCTCCCGCCATCTCGTGTGCATCTCGCACTTTGCAGGGGCAAAACAAGGCGGCCAAGAGCCACAAGACCCGGAGGTTGCGTAGGGCGAAGGATGACAGCTGATCCGTGGCGCCCACGACGTCCTCGAAGCGCTGGCTGCACAGCTTGCTCTGCACCACCTTTGCGCTATAATTGGCAATTCATGAGAATCCGCGACAACCAGGGCCAATGCTCCAAGGCAGGGGCTAGTAGGGGCAGCAGGCGGCAACAACAACCGGTGGCAATCATGATTAGCATGGCCAGGCAAGGGCTCGCAAAGACCAGGGCCAGCATCCGCAATCGGCGACAGCCACGGCCCGGGGGGCCCAGACAGAGGCTGGTTCAAATCTGGCAGCAAGCGCTGGTGGCGACACCCTGATCTGATCTCTCAGGGCCATTCTTCAGTGAGAAGGGCCTCTCAATGCAACAGTTGCTCTGTAGGAAAGCAGTCATAAATCTCACCAGCCGTCTGGGAGCAGGTGGCTTGGCATGCCAGCTCTAGGGGCCAGCGAAGCGAAGCGAAGCGAAGCGAAACCTGCCGGCGCAACCCATGGTGCACTTCGTGTGGGTGGGGCCCCCCCTGGCAGTTTCTACGGGGCTGCGCCAGATTTATGCTCGCTGTTTGGGCTGGCGGTCGGGCCCAAGCGGCTGGCTGCCTTGTGATTACATCTGTTTTGTCTGCTCGCCTTTTCGGCTTCCGATGGGCCCCCTTAGCCGTGAAGGTCCCCACCGCGATGGCACAATGGGGCCTCAAGGGTGGCCTTGGAGAGCCCCAAGCAGGCCCCAAGGATACCCAAGATCCCCCCAGGAGGGATCCAAGAGCCCCAGAGGGCCCCCAGCAGAGATTTTGCAAATATTACAACACGACCCCACCGGCCCCAGGAGGCCCCAAGCGCGCCATCTACGGGGCTATCTTGCGTGGGCAGGGTCAGGGCATGATGCTCCGCGCACGCCGCCCCAGGGGGCACGCCCAGGGAAGGCCCCACGAAGACTGCAACGGGGCTCCAAGGTTCTCTGGAGGCACACCCAGAGCCTCGAATCCAAGGCCTCCGCCAACACGGGCCATCGTTTGCGGCTCGCCCCGCCGTTCCCTATCTGCGGTTGGCCAGGGGCGGCCCCCTCGCCAGACTGCCAGCCACTTGCAGTCCACTCCCGAGGGACGAAGCTTTGCGGTGTGGGGACTCTCCCTATGGCAGCTCGCCACCCATGGGCTGCCCAATGGGTTGCGCCACCCATGGGGTTACGCAGAAGGCCACGCCATGGGTTACGCACAGGGCTGCGCCATGCCAGAATCTGGCTAACTGGTGCGCCGTTGGTTGCGCCGTGGCTTGCGCCCTCTCGGCGGCCACACGTGAGACGGCCTACAATTGGTTGCGACTTGGGTTCCGCACTTGGCGGCCGAGCATAAAGAGGCTTGCTGATTGGCGCGCCATATTCTGCGCACTCGGAAGGCCAAACATAAAGCGGCCTGCTTGTGATTGCGCCATAGTTGCGCCCCCAAAGGCCGAACACACACACACACACACCTGCCTGCTTTCCATTCTCGACTGCGCCATGGGTTGCACACTAGGCGTGTGAAGTTCAAACGACCTGCTGCTGTTTGCGCCGTCGTATGCTGCGCTCTCGCAGACTAAAACATGAAACGGTCCGATACTGCTTGCGTCACAGGTTGCGCATTCAGTGGCTGAATGCAAAACGGCCTGCTCAAGGGCGCGACCAGACAGTCGGTCAGTCTGCATCGCGGAAATCGAATCAGAGCTACGCCTGAAACAAGACTGATCTCCAATGACTTTGGCCTCCAGGGACATCCTTGGGGCGCTCTGGAGCCCGCGGTCTCGTCTTGAGCAGGGCAAGGCAACGTATGCCTCCGAGGTTGCGCCAGATGAGTCATGCTGGCCCAAGGTGGACTCCAGTATGGCTCAAAGATGACCCCAGAAGGCCTCAGAATGACTATGAGGTGCCCCGAACCTCCAAAGGATGTCACCGAGAAACCCAAACCATGAACACAGTCAGTTGAAAATGATGTTTGCCTTCTCGCCTGTTCGGCTTCCGATGGGCCTCTGAGACTTCCAGGCTGTTCCGAAAAGCGAGTCCCAGGAGGGCACCAGGTGCTGATATTTCGAGGTTCAAGAACGGTTTCGCCGATTCCCTCCAGCATGCTTACAACAGGGCCCCACAGGCTCCCAGAAGGGCCACCCCAGATGACTTCAAAAGGCCTCCAAGAGGCCCCCAGAGGGTCCCAAAGTCAGCATTTGCTTTGTTTGGGGAGCTACTTGGGCTGATCCCTCCTTTGGTGCGACTGGTGCCCCATGACGAGCAATTTCTGGATGGGCTCGCAGAAATTCTCGAAGCGCCAAGAGCTCAGCAATTATCTTAACATGTCACGAGATGGTGGAAGCAGCAGGAAACGGGACAGGGGGGAGACCAGGGGAACAGCAGCAACGATAACAAAGAGAAAGCCTCCGTAGTCAAACCTGAGCAGTGCTCAGCGCGGACTCCCGTGCTCGTGCTGCATTTATCCATATTGCTCAACTCGAGTCCGCTCACCTTTTGCGAGCCCGCGACACTGCCATGAAGGCCCCCAGCAGTGCGCCTAAGAGCGGGCAGAAGGGGGAGAAGACAGGAGGGCCTTCAACAGAGGAGACTGCTCCATAAAGACGAGGCTGCGCCGCAAGGGGCCGTTGTTGCCCGCAAGCCGCACGTCGTCCCCGGCGACCCAGGGGCCAGCGCTGGAGCCAACGTACAGCGGGTCTGGTCCGTCAGGGTCGAGCTCCCTCCTCGCAGCGAGCATGGCAGGGTCAGCGAAGAAGGCCTGCACGACCGTCCGGACTATCCGGGCCACGATCTTGATGTCCGTCAGATGCGGGGCCGTGGACTTGACGCTGCTCCTCACAGACAGATTCGGACGCCACTGTTTGCATACGGAGAGAGCGTACTTGCTGTCATAAGTCTGCGGCATGCCTCCATACAGGACGCGTCGGGCTCGGAGGCGCACAGGCCAGTACGCAAATCCAGATGACACATCAGAGTCAAAGACACCCGCCGTTTCGATGGATTCTCGATCGAGAAACGGGCGAGGGTGTAGGCAGGTGAACGGAGAAGCGAATGCAAGAGGAGAGTTGGTCTCTCACAGACGCTACAACCTCACCAGGCTGAAGCCAGGGCAACCGTCGGACTGTCTGGTCTCCGATCAAGTTCCAGAGGTGATGGAGGAGGACGCTGAGCACGGAGGGAATTGGGAATCCTCCCTTTTGTTACCCCGCCGCCATCCTCGTCCCCTCTCCCGAGGTTCTCTGAAGGTCATCGGGAGTCTCCAGGACTCTGAACGTCATCAGTGATCCCCACAGGCCTCTCTGGAAGCCTCCATGGAAGCCCAAGCAAGGCGGGACAAATCAGAAAGCCGCGATCCTCGATCCTCGATCCTCGATCCTCGGTCCTCCTCCGCTTCCTCGATCTCGCACGACTGGCGCGACACGTCCCGCAGGCAGGCTGAAGAAAGAAGCACACCTCCCCATTACCCAACTCGGTCCTGCCTCCATCCACGGGTGGCCCGGGCTGGCCGTGACTGGGGGACACATTGAGCTCCCAGCGGCCAGGGGGGAGGGGGTCGAACGCTGCCTCGATCCTCGACCTACTCCTCCTGCTGCGCGCACTCTGGCTGAATCATCCGCAGTGTCCCAACGCCGCGCGCCGGCGGGCCGCCGAGCAAGTCGAGGAGCAGGCGGCACCCGCCCACCCACTCCTCCCGCGCCCCCTCGAGGGTCCTCGGCGTGGAGGTCGCCGAGGCGGCGTCCGCCCCCGCCGAGAGGGCCGGCACGGGCTCGGGCAGGCCGCCCGGCGACGCCGGGCAGGGCCCCTGCCCCCGCCCTCTCGGCTCGCGGGCGGGCGCGCGCCGCTGCACTGCTCGGCCCTCGGAGGCCTCTCCGGTGCTCCCCAGGAGCTCCCCAGGGGGGCTCCCCAGGAGCTCCCCAGGGGGCCTTCCAGGAGCTCCTCCAGGGGCTCCCCAGGAGCTCCCGCGAGCTCCCAGGACCCTCTCTGCACCTCTCGGCGCTCGGCTGCACCGGGCGGCCCCCCTCTCCCTTCCCCCGTCCCCCCTGTGTCCCGTTTCCCCATCCCCCCGTTCCTTCCCCTCCTCCTCTCCTCACCCCCCCTTCCTTCCCCCGCCACTCCCTCCCTCCCTCCCGCTTCCCGCTTCCCGCTTCCAGGGGGGAGAGGGGGCGGGAGGAGCGGAAGGGGGCGGGGAAGCGGGAAACGGGAAAGAGTACGGGAGGGGAGGGACGAGACGGGAAGGGTTGGTGTGATAGGAAGGGTGAAGGGGAGGAAAGGAATGGAAGAAAGGAAGGGGTAAAGAGAGGAAGGGTGAGGGCCCTTCTGCCGAAGGCCTCTGCCTCCTCCCTAGTGGAGGGCCACGAAGCGCGGAAGGCGTGTCGAAATGTGGCGGGGCCGCCATGCGGGCGCGTCCACTGGTGCCTGGCGCACCTCGCCCCAGCATCGTGCACATGGGGTCTGTGGTTGTTTCCCGGTAGCTGTCCATCCACAGACGACGGTTGAACACGCTGAGGCTCGGGTTACTTTTGTGTTGGGAGGGCGGGTGGGAGTGAGCGAGGCAGCTTGCGGGCGGGAGGTTGCTCAAATCCCTCCCCCTCCTACTGGACTGGGCGCCCCGCGACCGATTGGGCGTCCACGAAGGCCTCGGCGCGAGAAGTCACACATCATTTATTTCACTTAGGTTTTGGGCACATTGTGGCCTCCTTGGGGGGGGCTAATCCCACCAGCCCTCTGGGCGTCGGTGGTTTAGGGCGTTTCCTCTTCCACCCCTCCTTCTTCCCCTTCGGGCTTCGGGGAGGAGTTTACCTCTCCCCCTACCCCCTCCCCTGGACCTGGACAGGGAGTTTCGCGAGTCGCCGGAGCGTCCCAAACGGCCTCGGCGAGGAAGCCAAAATCATTTGTTTTACTAGGGTTTTGGCCCCATGTTGGTCTCTTGGTAGTACCCCCCCCTCCTGTGATCGATCTCACCCAAGATGGCCCCTAGAAGCGCCCAGGAGGCCCCAAGAGTGCCCCAAGATGGCCCCAACAGGGCCCCATGATGGCCCCAAGAGGCCTCCAAGAGGCCCCCAAGAGTACCCCCCTCGGCCCCCAGAGGCCTCCCCGAGGCACCTTGGACGCCCAAGAGTCCCTCAGGACGGCCCTCTACTCGCCTGGGCGTCGTTTCTGGATGGGCTGGTGTCGTTAGTGACATCGGGAGTTTGGCCGCCTACAGCTGCCACTGCAGTGCGCAATGATTCTGGGCGTAATATGCCAAGACACGAATGTCCACTAGTGGCTATGACCCACAATGTTGGGACATCCTCGTCGTTGCACGTGTACTTCAGCTGGGGGCGGGCTTTCTTGGCGCCAGAACTGCCCGTCATACTGTCGTTGTGTAGGAGCAACCAAACTACGTAATCTTGTAGTTGGTTGCGCATACACTTAAAAATACCCTCGTATCCCTTTCCGCCCAAAATATGATACAAAACATCCATGGCCGCTACCAATACATCGTGGCGGCCCCATGTCCAGCATGCGTTCGCGAATCGCTGACAATGACCGCCATGGCGAAATGGCCTGCGCCTGCAAGTGTGAGACCACCACTCGGACATAGCAGTCATTTCATTTTGGCATGGTTGCGGATATAATGCAAAACTCTTCCTTTTCATTAAGGTCCCTAGTTTCGGAATCTCTACTCGGAGACTCAGGGGATGAACGTCGCGAGAACTATTGCGCGACCTTTCTTTCTGTGCTTCGGCGGCGGTCGGCGTCGGCATTGCGCGTGGACCAACAACAAGTCCCCGCGCAGGGCGCGTCCGCCGCTTCTGGGCTGGGCGCGTCCGCGGGCGTGTCCGCCCCAACTGGGATGTCTGTGCCATCCTGCCTTGAGGGCGCAGTCCTCGACTGTGGCTTGAGCTGTTCGGTCGGCGGCTCGGCGGGTGACGAAGCCGCGGCAGACTCGGCAGGTGCATCGGCCAGTGGTCCGCCCTGGAATTTTGCCCGCGCGGCACTGTCCAACTTCGCTGCTCTTTTCTTCGCTTCTGGCCAGAAGGACTCCACTTAGAGACCCTCCGACTTGAGCTGTGGCTGCTTGCCGACTGGCAATTGTTTTGGTACACCGCCAGCGTCCTGGCCCGTCTATTCTTTGGATTCACGTTCTGGAGATAGGTCCTCGGTCTCCTTCAGATTCTGATTGCTGAGAAGTGGAAAGCCGCATCAGGCTTTGACTTGTCTCTACCAGCTGCCGAGCTCGACCTTCCTGTGCGCGCGGTAGGTCGTGAAAATACCCAGTTGCCACGAAAGGCTGGGGCCTCCAGGGGCTCTGCAGACCTCGCGGCAACTGATTGCTTCGGCAGAGGTGTCGAGCTGCTTCAGAAGCGGACAGTTCTCTTGTTGGCATTGCCTGAGCGCCCCCTCGCAGGGCCGCGCTTGATCTCCATGTCGCTGTCGGGGGGGCCCTCCAGGTCCACCTCTTGGCCTGGGAGTCGCTTCTTTGCTGGGGCCGCTTTTGTCTCGTCGGTCTCCTGGGCCCCCTGGGCGCGTCCGCCCTCGGGGTCATCTTCGCGCTGGGCGTGTCCGCCCGGCGGCTCGGCGGGCGCGGCGGGCGCGAGCGGCCGCCCCGCCTGATCTCTTTCTTCTTCGATCGTCGCGTCCGCCGCCCGGGTCCATCTTGGGAGGGGCGCAGGAGGCCCGGCCCCGGAACTGCCTGCGAACTGCCCCGTCGCATTCAGCTCGCGCTGGCGGGGTTTGCTTCGATCCCTGTCCACGCTCGCCTCAGCGGGATCTTTATCCCGCCGTTGGTAGTGCCAGTCCTGGTCGTAGATCTTGAGAATGCAATCATCGCCCAGATCTTCCCGAGCCGCGTCCGCGTCTTGGACCTCAGCATCGGTCAACGGAATGCAATCTTCAATGGGCGCGGCCGCCCTCCCGCCAACGCCGTCGCCGCGGTCAGGGTGCCAAGGCGTCGCCATGATGCGGGCTGCGAGATAGGCCGCCCATCGAGCAGTTGCGGCGACGCCGACTGCGAGCTGGGCATGGACACGCGCGGTAGTCCCTACGAGCCTTGATGACGCCTGGCATGAATGCCTACCTCTCGTCATTCTTTGCCGCGACGCCCTGATATTGCGATGATGCAGCCTCTTGCATCACGGGAAACATGATGCTTCAAAGGCCACCAGTGGCGAATCTGTGATTCTGTGTATGAAGTGGCCCTGGGACACTAATACATAGACGCAGATAACAAGATTTCCCATATGTTCGTACATGTTCCAAGTTTTCGCCCCCCCCCACCCCACTTCCCATAGTTTGCAAGATTTTCTTTGGGATCGACGATTATTTGCGTCTGTGTGTTTATTTTCCTCCTGAGTGTAACCCTGTTCGAGGAAGTAGCTCACGTCGGCATCATTGATCTCCAGGTGCGGGCCATGTTCGTCATGGGAGAAACAGACGGGCCCTTTCCAGAGGACGCCCGCCCTCTTCCCCAGCCCGTCTCGCTGGGGCTCGCGCCGCGCGCGGGCTCGGCGGGCAGAGCAGAGCCCTTGCCCTTGGAAGGGCCAGCGCCGCGTGAGCGGCCACGACCTCGACCAGGGCCGCCCGCGTCGGGGCTACATTTGACAGGCGTCCCTTGGTGCGCCCGCTGTGGCGCGGGCCGTATCGCTGCAGCCGCGGCGACTGCCTCCTTTGTCGCCTTGGTAGGGGCCACCCGAGCCAATGGGGGCCTTTCCACACTGACCCCGCATCATAAACGCGCCGGCGCGAGTCCTCGCGCGCCGCAACAGCCCGCTCCTCCTCCGTGAGACCAAAAGCCGTTGGAGTCGGGAACGGGTGGGACCTCGCCTGCTCGTGTCCGAGCTGTTCCATCAGTTCGGCGCCGGTGGCAGGTCCCACCATCCCTGTCAAAAAACAATGCAGAGCACACTTTGCGGCGGCGGC